GCGTGGCGGGGCGTGGCGGGGCGTGGCGGGTCTGGGCGCGGGGCGGCGCTTGGAGCCGTGCGCTCCCAAGGCGCGGTCGGCGAGACTCCGAAAGGGGGAAGGAAACAAACGACGAGCTGAGGCGCCCTATCACCTCGCCAAGTGAATCGGTTTTCTGCGCTGTCATCCATTAGAGCCAATGTGCGAGTATCTCTTGTTGCTGTGTTCCTGTCACACTTTCGAGATATTCAAGTGATAATTATATCTGATAATTTTTGCATTCTGTAGACATTTATGTAATTTTTATCATCTGAGAAGTATTTATTTCTTAATTATCTCTCTCAACTTTTTTGTAGGATGTAAACTGGCAGGGTTTTTGCCTGATGTTGAAGGTGTGGAAAGAAAGTAAAACATGCTTCCATTACAAATCTTTCAAAAATTTAAGTACATCACAACTATTTTACATAATTATAAAACTGCTGCAGGAAAAAAAATCAAATACCATTATACTACAAGATTATAGAATAAAGAGGCATCGATATAAATAAATATATTCCAATTACTTGTTGGTTAGATACAGATACAATTGCTCATTTTGATTAATGATTGTTTGGGTTTTCAGGAAATCATACTGAAAAGATAACTGTTATTGTTTCACTCGTTTAAATAAAATAATTTCTTCAATGCTACTAATCACTCTTTGCCAAAATTTAAATGAAAATTTTTGGAACGGAAATAGTTTATTTCGATTTACTATACTTGTGAGACTCATCTTCCTACTTTAGTAACTCCTTTCTTGATGTAACGTTTTGCCAACTATTACATAACTTATTTCATGTATACCTTATAGTAGGCTTTTATCTTCTTCGATTGTTAAGTCAGACTTCACAGAACTGAGATCAGTGTTGTAAGACGTTATCGAAAACAAATGATTTACTAATACATTTTCCTCTATTGACAACCATTATTATTTTACTAATGTTCTTATCTGATAATTATTCCCCAATCTCGTATTGTAATAAGATATCTTACGACTTTGATACCTTGGTAAATAACTAGTATTTGAATATAATATTGTTCTAATCATATTTAGCCTTCAATTCATTATTACTAACAACTCTCACCCTTCGCAGGATGAACAAGTAAAATTTAAATGAAAATTATAATTTACTGAATTTTCTACAAAATTTAAAATACGTTGTCCGATAATCGTAATCAGTCGTTCTAAAAGCCTAATTTAATAGTCAGTTCAAATCTTATAGTAATAAGATGCCTTACGATACTTATTTCCGATATAATTCTAATACGATATGTTTAAAATAATCTGAAAAAAAATGTAGTAAGCACTACCACTGGAGTCATTCATGTACGTAATTTGAGCATCGTTTATGCGCCACTGCGCCGATGGAGCAGGGAGGGGGCGGGCCGCAAAAACTACTGAGAGTCAACAGCCTCCGGCGTCGCCTTGATTTACCTCGAAATCCAGAGCCTGTTTGCTCCCTTCGGCGAGCGCTGGTGGGGGCGGCGGCGGGGCCGCAGGAGGAGGCCATGGAAAGGACGACAGACGCTGGGGAGGTGCGATCGAGGAGGGGGTTAATGCAGGCGATGGGGACGACCGAGCAGGCAGCAATAGCGGAATGAGAATGCTGCTGAAACGACGGAGAGGACGAGAACCGCGGTGTCCAGGGAACGATGACAAAGAGGAATGGCGAGCTTGTGAAGAAGTGGGAGGAAAACATCGGGAAAGTCTTTTGTGTCGTGGTCGTTATTCCTGGAGTGCATTTCTCAGTTTATCACAGCAACATACTCACGATAATTTACAAAAGCAAAAATGTTGATTTTCCTGGACAGAAATACGAGTATAGTGGAATAGAACATAGAGTTTTGTGAGCCAAAATTACATTCTTTCAACACAGGACTTTCAGGACAAAAGTGTCCTGAACGGTAAGGAATTTGCCAAATGGGAACGTCGTTGTTCACAACCGAAACAAGTACTGGAAAGAACTAGTGAAGAATAACTATTTGGTTTATGATTTGAATGATAAATAACTGACTCTTTCCTTTGTTTCTTACTATATTAAAAAAATTGACATAATGTTTGAAAATAATATTTTTGTATGCTTAAGAATGTATTGTGATTTTTGCTTTCGTTTTAAATTTGTCATTTTATTTGTTATATTTCATGTTGCTGGTCTGCGAAAGTAAATAAATAGAACAAAAATAATTACAATTGGAACATGTGTATGAGACAACATTTAGTGTTTCAAGTAATCACAAGTCGCAGAGGAAGTTAGCTGTAAAGTTGACACCATTCTTTCCTTTCCTCTTCTCTTTGGCATCATCTCGTATTTTTTCCTCTGAGGGTTGGCAGTGGCAGCTTCTGTAAACGCATTGCTAAGTGTGTGTGTGTGTGTGAGAGTGAGTGTGTGCAAGCGCGCGTGTGCATGTTTGGGTATGTTTTCTCTCGCGCAGCATTTTTTCTCTCCCTCCCCCGAACGTATTTATTTTCCCCAGAGCTCCCCTGTGAGATCTCCTCAACGAGATATCTCGCAAATATTTATTTTTCTGGCGCATATAAATGCTAAGTTTGGCTTTAAAAACGTTTCTACGATTTCTTTGCATTTCATGTGACACATACTAGTGATATGCGTAAGTAGCCTTCGAGAAATATTTGTATTAAAGTTACGCAAAGTAGCCTTGAATTTGTCTTCAAAATATTAGTGTGTGTGTGTGTGTGTGTGTGTGTGTGTGTGTGTGTGTGTGTGTGTGGGTGTGTGTGATAAATTAAACGAAACATACAAAATAATGCAGTTAAAAATAGTTTAAATTTTAACAATCCGTTTATTCAGTTGATTCATGTAATGCAGTGTTATTATTAATAGCATATTAAGTAGAACTCTGAGCACCCAATAGAAAAAAAACCTTCGTTTTTGTGTTTAAGGTAAAAAAAGTAAAATTAATTTACCTGAGTGATTACTACATTTTCCCGTGTTAAAATTGATGCAGTTTACCACGGGCCTCGGCATCGTTACACAGTACACAACTTAAAGAAAGTCAAACATTCACGAAAGAAAAAAACAATGAAATGAAATTACATTAATTAACCGCTTGAGCTATGGTTGTAAAGCAAAGAGAAAAGAAACACTGAATGCTCTGTAATTGAGCCAGTAACACTATAAAGTCTCCTCTATAAAACAGAAAATAATATATTCGAAAAAGAGTTGTGGAATAAAAACGTGAATGACATATTTCATGAATATCTGGGAGATGAAAACATGTTGACGTCCTAAACGAGTTTCGTCGACAAGTAAATCCTGCATAAAACGAAAATATTGCAAAACCGAAAAATAAGCCAAGCTCGTTATCTGGTACAGTTAATTGAGTGAGATCATTATTCCATTCCTTTTATAAAGTTTAGAAATAACACTGAAGAACGACGTTCCATTGTTCCTGTGTTTTAATTTCATTTTATTTTAATAGATTTCTCAGTTTAATTCGTAGAATGCATTTCGATGAAACTATTATGTTCTATAGGAAGGTCGACTGGAATCAATTTACACCTTTGATGAAGACCACTGGTTTAATGAACACATTCAATGTATTAAAAACAATTTATATTATAATTTTATATAATAATTATATAGTAATTTTTATATAGTAAAATATTAACAATAATTTTATAATACTATTTATTTTACGTTATAGTTTGTTCATTCATTTCGTTGGTTTCTTCCGTAAAATGAACGTTTTTGAAAATTACTAGCTCGTTCTCTTCACGAAGATCAAGAATATAATTTTTGCTCCCGAGCAAATTACTCACTATTTTAATTATCTATCTTCATTAGCAAACTATCTTGTGAAAACAATGATTGTGATAGCACTACAGTGTCTCTGATCTATAAGACATATGGTGGCTTATTTTGGACACTAGCTAGTCAGATTTGTCTTCGTCCCAGAAGTTCAAAATAATCAGTCAATTAAAAGTATATTAAACATGTTCAAAAACAGTATCGTGATTATTCATATTTTTTTATTTCATTTTGTTCTTACACTTTATCCAGATCGTTTCGTTCAATGAATGTTCATTGATTGTTTTTATTATTAAAATGATCCCATTAGGTTTGAATACAGTTATTTCTCAAATTTCACTTTTATTTTCACTTTTACGTTCCTAGTACGTACAATTTATCGACGATATAAATTTTTCATCTCTTTCGAGTAAAATGTTTTTATAAAAAAAATTTATCAGAAAAGGTTGAACATGATACATTACATTTTCTAGGTATTATTTGTTTAAATGGTTGAAGGTTAATATTAGATTAGTGGCATTAATATCATTTTGTTATAAATATTTTTGTTCATATAAATATAAAAATCGTCGTATTAAAAGATGATGTACACTCAGATAGAACTCAAGCTAATAAAAGTTTTATACATTAAAACTTACATTCACAAAAATGTTATTGGGCAAATACGCGTTATAAAAATAAGAGAACCACCTGTTATTTCAATTAAAAGGTATTGATGAAAGAGGTCATCTTATCGGTATACTTGAAATGAAAAACATTATACGTGGATGAGGTTGTCATGATAGCTACTAAGCAACTGTAAGTAACCTATTGTGATAAATGTTTTATAAACAATTTTTAGTACCACATTTAATAATAAAAAGCATATTGTATTAGGCGGTTACAACCAACAATCTTCATTGAAATTTACAATGTTCTATGCTCTATACAGGACGATATAGAATTATCAATTTGGGTCTGCAACAGACTCTGTTATTCGGCAGCCTCGAGTATGAGTGCGAGTGCGGGCGCGGGTGTGGGCGGGAGCTAACCATCTCGCGAATCAAATGATATTAATGCCACTACAGTTTCTCTGATCGGGAGAACCTAGGGGGGCATATTTTCGAGCGTGGGTCATTAGCTAGATCGACCGCGCCCAGAAATTTAAAATAATCAATCGAAAGGATATTGAATGTGTTCATAAATAATATCATGATTATTCATATTTTTTATTTTATTTTGTTAATTCGGTTCGATACATATCGTTTCGTTCAATGAACCTTCTTTGAAAATTTCACTGTCGTACGGTCTCTGCGGGATGGCATGGAATTATCAATTTGGGTGTTCGATAGACTCTGTTGTTCGGCAGCCTCGTGGGCGTAGGCGTGGGCGGGAGGTGGCGGGGAGGAAATGGCGCGGGGCCCAAGTTGGCCGTGGCGCCGCGTCGCGCCGGGGCAGCTCTAACTGCGCGGGCGCGCCCTCGAGGCCAACGCGGGATTCGCAATTACGCGAAGGAAATGACTTGTTTACGCCACTAGTCCCGGGCGGTGTTCGCGAATCGATTCGCAGCTAGTGCCCTGGGCCGCGGAGTCTCCTCCGCCCCCCCCCCCGCCCTCGCGTGGATTGCACCTTTTGCATAGGGATTTCGCGCTCCGCAGAGCCGGAGATAGAATCAGCGGGGATTATTGGAGCGGTTTTCATAACAAAGAGGAAAGGAAGTCTTTTAATAAAGACGTAATCTTAAGTAGATGAGTACTCTTCCGAAGGTAAACAAGTAATGATTAAAATACAATCAAGTTCCATCTGTCAGAGAGTATGAATGTGCACACTTACTTTTTTCAAAAATCTAAGAAAATGTGAATAAGAAAGATTAAACTAAAATACTGTTTTAAATGGACTTACCTTGCTATTTTCTATATTTTTTATTAACTTAATGGTATTTTTTATATTATTTTGTTTGTATTCAAAGCTTTCACAAAGACTCAAACCACACTATAAAATGATTAATGTACGAGTGATTCTGTGCCACTTAAAAAAAGATTTAAAATTCAAAAAAGCACTGTTTCTCGTATTTATCAGTTATCTGATAAAGAAAATAATTCAGTAATCTATTGCTGTCTATTTTATATCTCTGCTTGGTTCAATGTGCATAGAATTCGAGACATCTTTGGTCATTTACAATTCCAATTATAAAATATGAGAATAGAAGACATGACCACAAACAATGATCAATTTTTCAAAGAAATGTTTACATATTAGTTATGATTCAAATAAAAAGCAACTTACTTTTACGTTGATTCAATGCACGTGCGTGGATTTTAAATATTTCCTTCGGTTTACTTTCAATAAATTGCAGTGAGATGTTACCGGATTTAATACTACTCTCATCTCCTAACTTCTGGCAACTACTTGGGGAAATATAGTCAGTTGGCACGTAAGCCGGATTCCTTCTTTACTCGGATGAAGTAATGCAATGAGGAAATGCAAACACCGCCCTCCGGTTTCTTTCTCCATCTTGGGTAGCCAGCGCTTGCTGGTTGCCGCGGGAAAGGTCAGACAGCGTCCGCGAGGCGAGGCAAGAGCGGGCGCGGGAACTGGCGTTTGTGGGGGCAGCGGCGCGAACGAGGTGAGCAAGGAGGCGGGGCGGGGAGAATGGTAGAGCAAGTAGGAGGAGGGGGCAGAGACGAGTGCGTGGACAAGGGAGCGTGGAGCTGGGACGAGACGGGAAGGAGACGAGGTGGGGGTGGGGACGCGGTCAGGGAGAGTAGGGTTGCGGTGAAAGAAAGGTTAGGGACGAGGAAGACATGTTCGAGGGGAAGGCGGGGTGGAGGGGAAGGAGGGTGGTGGTGTGAGAGGGGACGAAGCGAGGATGGGAACAAGCCGAAGACGGGGTGGAAGGGAGAGTGAGGATAAGACGGATGCTGGTACGAGGCGAATGTTGGGACCGGACGAGGCGATGGCGAGAACGAGGCGAGGGCAGGGACGAGGTGAGGGCGGGGACGAGGCCAGG